CACATAAGCATGTTATCACATAAGCATACAATACATGCTAACGTCTCAATCAAACGAGACAAACCCATTGTGGTACTAACCACTTCTCACGTACCCAAAGTATTCAAACGCTTAAATCAAGTGAGATGGTTTTACCACGGCTGGATAACAGTATGACCGAGCTAACACTAGCCCTTTGACATACTCAATTCGGTGACTCTATACGCAATGCCTAGCTCGGTCCTTGTCCACGTACACCTCGGCTCTGGCTGTTCAAACTGAGCTAACTGTAGCAGTCTCTCACCCGGCTAACCAGGATGAGGTCGAACGTGCGAGGCCCAAGCTCCTGAATCCATAGCTCGATCCAAACTTTGTCTGGGCCAAGCTCGTTAGCTCTAAGACCGGGCTATATCAACTCTTACCCCGGCCCATTGTGCGGCCCAACTTACAAAGAAGGCCCTTCCCTAGCTCGGCTCAATTTCCAAAGAAGCCTCTTCCTTAGCTCGGCCCAATTTATTTATAAATTACCCTCTCATATATATATATATATATACACGAATGATTAATTTTATTAATACATAAATTGTCACGACCCGCTACTCGTACCCAAGGGTTAAGCATCGTGATGGCCAGTAACTGGAGTTACCTCCGACCAATTCTTAAACAAATAAATAAACGCGAGTGGAAATAATATTTAAATGAGGGTACCAAAATAATCATTGGAGCTTTTATTTAATTAAATTGTCAGAACTGGGCTATCTCTACAAAGTGCTTCGTGCCTACCCCACGCGCTGGCTTTGACATATCACCTGAAAGTGGTAAACAACTATAAACATATGGCAGAGTGATAAATATTATACTAGGAGTATAAGGGCATAAAATTCACCATGGATAATTATTGGCTAAACAGAGCTTGATATTAAAATGCAGAATATATAATACAGAGATCAAATACGGAAATCATATACATAATCATAACTATGGTACAAAACGGACCAGAAGAGATGTATGGACTCAAGAGATGGCTCATATGAACTCTAGAGGTGGCTCCCACCATAGTGTAACACTTAGTTCCGTATAACACTTCGCTCCACACCAAAAGTCATAACCACGGTATAGAACCGGACAAATGTATAGACTCAAGAGGTGGCTTGTACGAACTCAAGAGGTGGCTCGTACGAACTCAAGAGGTGGCTCCCACCATAGTGTAGCACTTAGTTCTATACAACACTTTGCTCCACACCAGAAATTCAGAGGGTCAATGGATCCATGACAGACAGAGGGTCACAAAGTGACTAATCAGAGGGCCAATGGTTATTTAAGTCTCCCAAGGTGTGAGACTCCCGTTGTGGTATTTACAAAGCATAATTATATATAAGGTTATAGTCAAATATTCTTTAAAATATAAACAAGCATATCCATGGATTTCCTTTTAACAAATAAGATACAGAAAATAATCCACGTAACTGAAATATTAATATAATTTATAATGCTTTATAAAACATAACTTGTATAAAATAAATATGGTAAGTCAAAATATAAGTAAAATATACCTTCTTAGCTTCTATTATTTTTCCTTCCATTTTCTTCCTCTCTTTCTTTCTCTTTTCTTCTCTTGTTTTCCTTTCTGAGCACATTCTCTCCTTATATAGAATGGCAACTGGGGGAACCAAGCCGCGAGTTACCACGTGTCGCCCTCCTATTAAATCCATTAATTTAAACTTATCTTTAACTTATTTAATAGATAAGTTAACTTAGTTATTTATTTATATTTTGATCCTTAAACTCTTAATAATTATATTATTTTACAAAATTACATATAATGATATATAATAAATTATATATTTTTCTAACTATGATTAAATAATATTAGTATAAATTTTACAGAATAATTAAAAATTTGGATTGTTACATAAACCATACTAGTATAACAAATGACTAATTTTATTAACAAATAAATCATTAAATAATTAACAATTTTTAATGATATGAAGAATATTTTTCAGTCAACCATTTTGTTAATAAATAAATTATTAAGTCAATTAATAGTTTTTAATGATATGAGAAATATTTTTCAATGAACAATTTTGATAATTCATTATTGCATAGGAGAATATTTTTTTCCCTCTCCTGAGTATTGTGTTAAATTAAAATTTATAACAAACGATAGTTGTAATTTCTAGTATTATAGGATCAATTCATATTTTAAACAAACCTTCCGGGTACATTTGTAATTTACTAAAAAAATTATATTTTATAATTGATCAAGAATGTTTGCGTAATTACAAAAAAACCTGTTTCATAATTGATTAAGAATGTTTGCGTAACTACGAAAAAACCTGTTTTATAATTGATTAAGAATGTTAGCATAATTATGGAAAAACCTGTTGCATAATTGATCAAGAATGCTTACGTAATTACGAAAAAACTTTCACTCAACATATAAGTCACCATTAGTAAATTATTCAAAATAAAATGACAAAATCAGAGAGAAAAGATCAACCTCAAACAGCTAAGCGATTCTTATATATATAGATATATATATGGATAGTTTGGACATTTTATAGAAACTTGTTTTTATGAATAAAATATTTTAGAGTTTGAATTTTGAGGCAGCGAAAATTTAAAATTGAATTTATGAATCGTGTAACCAAAAAATAAAAATAATAATAATTTCTGATGGCTCTTTGATGGAGGTTCACTTTGATTTGGTGTTCGGTTCTTGTTTCCATCTTTATCATATGTGAAAAAAAAAAAAAATCCGATTAACGTGATTTTTTACAAGAATAATATACTAAACAAATATGAAAATATAACGATTGTAATTATCAAAAAAAAGATCTAAAAGTGAACCCACTAAATCGAGCTAGACCAAATTATCTCATATCTAGACTGAAGACCATCCTGGCCCAAAAAAAAAAAATCTGATGGACATTACACATGAAGTCCAAAGGTGGTTGTCTAATCTCTCTCACAAATAATGAGGGATAATGAGGGTATTTTTCCTATTTGAGTGTTTCGTAGAAAATTTAGGATTTCCTACATTTTTGTTTGAAATTAAAAAAAAACAAATATGATGTTAACTTATGCGTAATTAGAAACTTGGCTAAAAGTTAATTTTTACTTCTTAAATTATTTTAGATTACATTATTTTTCTATTTTTATACATTTTTTTTTATAAAGAAGGTCAAAAAAAATAAAAAATGGGCCACTTACCAGTAAGTCTCATATACAAAATTAAAATCCATCTAGTTCCAAAACAAAACACTTACATCAATTAGTCCTACATATTTTTAATTGTTATCAAAAAATCATTTTTTTTAAAAAAAAAAACTTTAAAAACTCTATTACATTCCACCACTGTCGGATTTCCGTCAAACAGTCATCGAAGACTCGCCAAAATATTCAATATCACCGGAAAGTCGCGCAGAGTATCACTAGAGTATCGCAAGAGTGTTTTAAACATCACTGGAAGTCGTCGAAATGTCCAAAATATTCATTGAACGTCAAGAATATCATCGAACACTCACTTGAATGTTTAGAATATTACTAGAAAAAAAAATGGAGAAATTATAATAACAAAACATAACAAAATGCGCTAAATGTCGATAAGCTAAAAGCAAAAAAAAAATAAAAAAAATAAAAAAATAAATAAAAAATAACAATAACAAACAACAATGAGAAAAAGTATATATTATTTTTCAATTTTTGTAGGGTTTAAACAAATAATATTCAATATTGATCAAACTGAAAAATAAGTTTTAAAATTGTAAAATGTTACAGTTTGAAAGCATGATTATATTAAGCATTTATCCTTATTAATCAAACTGGAAAACATGTTATGAAATTGTAAAATTTTACAGTTCTGAAGAATGTTATGAAACAGTAAAATTTTACAGTTTTAAAGCATTACTTATTTTAGCACCAAAAAAATTGAAACTGTAAAATTTTACAATTTTCATCACTTGTAACTAAAATTTAAAAACAACTTGTTCAGAACATGAAATTTTTTTCTATTAAAACAGGAATATAGAAAGTGTGTAGCAGAGAAAAGGTAAAAAAATTGAAAAATCGAAAGAAAGAAACAAATAAAGAGAAAATATTGTATTCCGACAATTATTTTTGGTTTAGATCTAGTCGGATCTCATGTAGATTTACTTAGATCTGAGTAGATCTACTCATCTTGTTCACTGGAAACTCGTTTCTTTCGTCGTCGGTGAGGGTGAAGTTAGAAGTCAATGATCGGTAGTTGCTGGTGAAACCCAAGGCAATGGTGGTTGTCGGCGACTATATATTAGAAAGAGAAAGAGAAGAAGTAAGAAATGGTCGCTGGGAAATAGGGAAAAGAAAGAGGGAGAGAAGAACTAATGCATGGGAAGAATGAAGAAGAAAAATAGATAGTGGACTTTTAAGAGTATTCAAAAGGTTGTGAGACTAAATAAACTTATCCTCTTTTAAGTAGGACTTTCAGATAATTTGTTATTAAAAAATTAATTTTTAACCAACTTCTCGTCACAGTTTCATGTTTCAAATCTTTAAGAGAACACGTCAAAGATTTTCAGAGTCCTGCCATTGAAAATTAGGTATATATATATGATATGATAGCTAAAAAAATTAAAAAATTACTTAAAAAGTCTGGTTCCAAACGAGAGGCTTTAGACCTCTTTTGATTTGAGTTACATTTATTCTTTACTTTCTCTAGGTCTTTTCAGAATAAATATAAAAATATAATTTTTTTAACATTTTTCAAAATAATCTTAAATTCAAGGGAAAAATTATGGTGTATATCCCTCAAATGGTGTGTACTATATGTACCTTAAAAAATTACGTAATTTCATATTTTATGAGTTATAACTAAAAAAAAATCATAATTAAATAACATCTGAGATATAATCAAAATCTTATAAGTTATAACTCAAAATAAGATCTTACCAAAATAAAAAAAAATTAATTATACGTAAAGAAAAAAAATAACATAAACATATGATTAGAGTGTGTATAGCAGAAGTTCCCTAAAATTTTCAATCTTTACTTCACCCGAAGAAGAATATGGAGTGGAATGAGTAAAACGAGCATTTTTTATTTTGAAACCGCTGGTGGTGACACAATGATCACCAACTGAACTGATCCATCTTCTTTTGTTGGTCTTTGCAATTACAAGTCAGAACTTGTTCGTTTGAATCCTTTTTCTGTTGCAGAGAAAAATATGGGTTTCTTCAAGCGGGACTTCCTACTTCTCACCCTTGTATTATTGTTTTGTCCAATACCCAGTTTCTCAGATCCTTCTTCAGTGAGCTCTGAACAGCTCTCAGAAATCCCAAAAAATTTCCTTAATTTTGCCAAGAAATCTGATTTGTTTGAGTGGATGGTTGGGATTAGGAGGAAGATACATGAGAACCCAGAACTGGGTTATGAGGAATTTGAGACCAGTAAGCTTATCAGAGCAGAACTGGATGAGATGGGTATTCCTTACAAATACCCAATTGCGGTTACTGGTGTTGTTGGCTTCGTTGGCTCCGGAAGTCCTCCTTTTGTTGCATTACGGGCGGACATGGATGCTCTCCCTCTGCAGGTTTTCTTCAGCTTTTGGATTTGTTTTTCCTGAATTTAAAGCTTATTTGCGGGAATGAAATCTTTTTTGTTATGGGTATTTAGAATGGTTTGATTTTCTTGACTAGTCATTACCATGTACCAGGACTGGTTGGGTCAAAGAGGAGGATATGGATACCTCACGATGCCTTTGTAATTTTACATTTAAATTTTGGATAAATTTACTGACTTCCCTGATATTTAAAAAAAAATAAAATACAATAAGTTCAGGCATAATTATATTGATCTGAAAACGCTGCAATAAACAAGGAAAAATATAGATTTGAGTATAAGATAGATGATAGTATCATTTTTTTCCATCTAAATCACTAGCGAATTATTGAGGAAAAAAGGGCCAAGTGTTATGTGAATTAAAAACTTAAGGGAACTTAATATAATTATGTCAAATTTGTGGCGCTCATGTATTTTTTTCAAACCTCAAGGGATGTTATTTTAATTTACTCTTAAATTTTTGTGTAGTTTGATGATTGAGACAGTCTGACGAAGGAGAAGATAATTTTTCATTTTAATTCTTACAATAACTGTTAGGAAAAGATAATATTTGGGAAAACTGTTGCTGCTGTGAAGTTTTTGGAAATGAAAATTGCATGACAAAGCTTCAACCAAGTAAGTTGTGTGTTTTGTATAATAGAATCAAAATATATTATATGTAATTAGGCAATGGGATTTTATTTTTTAGTGTAATTTAATGTCTGTAATTGTTAGGCTTAGAAGAAAGGGGTGAAGAAGTGTGCTGTCAAATATATTCATGAGATTGTAATTTTTGAAGGAAATGGTGGAGTGGGAACACAAGAGTAAAATTCGGGGAAAGATGCATGCTTGTGGGCATGATGGTCATGTTGCAATGCTTCTAGGCGCTGCAAAGATTCTTCAAGGGCATCATGAACTTATAGAGGTTAATTTTCTGACTCCTCATTAACTTTGATCTTCCTACGTAATTTTTTCTGTTATCTTCTCTGTACTTCTACTTCATATGCTGGTTGATAGTTTTCCTTTGTTCCACGGGCATTGCTTTTGTGTCTGTGATTAGGTGAACTAGAAAATCATTTGGATGCTCATAGACTACAGAAAAAACTGATTTTTTTTATATTAATGGTATGGATGAAGTGGTTTGCAATGCAGTTATAGAATGTTTTTAAGGATGTTGGCGAATTGTAGAAGTGTCTTCCAAAGGGTGGTAGGTTGAAAAAGCTCTCATGTTGAGCACGTTGACCAGTTTGCCCACATTCTCATTTTTTAAAACTTTTTTTAAAAAAGGATTCATTGATTGGTGTTTGATCATCTTGAGAACTCATAATTGATTCTCTTTTCAAGGTTCTGTTTAAAAGTTAAATTTAATATTTTCTTGTTTTGTTCTCCGACTGATTAGCATCAGTGGTTTTATATTTGCATTCCTTTTTTATTTATTTATTTTTTTTCTGACAAAGCACTAGTGGAAAATGTTTGTGGAGATATGTAGTAGAGATGGCGATCCTGTGTAAGCAGTTGGTGTGGCTTGTGAGTATGGAGAAGGTGAATAACAGAGAAGAAAAGATTCTCAAGGAACCTTGTGAACTAGTGGTTTGGAAGTATATTCATAACTAATAGGTATAATTTCTTCATGTATGTTTCCTTTTCGGTGTTGTCGCAAGTGCAATTTTTAGGAAGAAGTCTGGTTTTAGAATCTACTTAAAAGTGCTTTTGGGGTCTCTTCCCCATACAAGAGGATCATGAGTTCAGTCCTCTGAAAGAACTTGAGTTGGGTTGAGGTAGAATTAGTTAGTAGGGAGAGTTTGCAGTGCTACAGCTCCAGAAAGTGTATTTTTTAATTTTTTTTTTTTTTTTTTCATTTATACGGCCACTCAGCTAAAATTTTAAGATTGGGAATTTTAAGAAATGGATGGAGTTTGTCCAAGTGGGTGTTGTATAACTAGCAAAATAAGGAGACAGTGGTATGTCTTTTACTCTCAGGAGATGCTTTGTATGGTGGTGGATCCTTGGTAAGCTAGACCCGATATTTTCTTACTATATGAAGGATTCAATAATTCACTGATACTTTCCCTATAATAGCAGTTTGGTGATGGATACTGTCGATATTTTTCAGCTATGTTACGTGGACTCAGGTACAAGTATCGGGTGCGAGTGTGTATGCAAGCGTCATACCTTCATAAATTAAAATTTTAGGATTTTGGGATACGTATCCAAAATTGGATATGGGTACGGAGACGCATCATATATATATTGCATATTATATAATATTTTCGGATGAAATGTTGTAAATTATATAGAAATATTCTTGAAATTAAATAGGATTTAGGAAAAAAATATGAAATTTCTATATATAATTAATGTGAGAGGCTAAAAATATTGTTTTACTAGCAAATGTGAGTTTCTTCTTCTCATATATTGTAACAAATTAAAGGATCCGAGTGTCTAAATTGAGTATGAGTGTCGGACACATATCCCACACCATTAGAGCATCTCCAACGCTTAACTTCTTTTTTCATCAAATCTGATGAAAAAAATGACGATTTTTTCAATTTGATACGAGGCGCTCCAACGGTGAGTATCAAAGCAAAATTAGGGAGGTGGTCGACCGGCCGGTTGACCAACCGGTCGACCGGTTTGGGCAATTTTTTTTTTTTTTTTTTTTTTTTTACCTGTTTGAACCTTTTTTGACCGGTTTGAACCTAGTTATTTCAAAGGGAACCGGTTGACCGGTTGGTCAACCGGCCGGGCAACCGGCCGGGCAACCGATGTATCTCTTTCAACGGTCAGTAACAGTGATTTGGTAAAATCCGGAACTTGTTCTCAGTTTGATACTTTTTTTGCTGATTTCTCATTTTGATATTCATTTGATGCAACGGTTGGAGCATGGAAAAGTATATTTTTCATCAAAATTTAAATCTGATATCAATTTTGGTTCACCGTTGGAGATGGTCTTATCCATGTCCTATTTGGTGGACATGGGTATTGTGGGGGAAATAGAAGAGTCCATGTAACACAATTTTTCAGAACTATTCAATCTTTAGTTTCTTCGTTTCAACAACTTGTAGACAACTGAAGATTAATCTTGAACGAAATAGTATTTTTTGTATAACATTGATTCAACATTTGCTTTGGTAATACAACTAAGAAAGAGACAAGAAAATAAGGCTCCGTTTGTATTTACGAATTTGAAATGGATGGATTTGACATTAATCAAATAAAGAGAAACAAAATAGTTGAATTTAGATTTGATAGTTTATCTACGGATTTCAAAATTGAATTAAAATAGTTGGGCAAATTACAAAAACATCCCTTGAGGTTTGTTTAAAATATAAATTGTCTCTTGTGGTTTGAAAAATTACAAATACGTCATTGTCAGAATTTTTTATTTAATAGAAGTAACTGAAAAAATGAAATTCCTAACTGCTCTCCTATACAATAATAAAATTACCTGAATTATTAATTGAAATAAATTTTTAACATCATTACAAATTATTAATTAACTTGATGGTTTATTAATAAAAGGGACAATTTGTTATGAAATTAGAAACCTCAGGGGACAGGATGTAATTTTCAGAATCACAAGTGCAGTTCGTATTTTAAGTAAATCTCAGGGGTGTGCTTGTAATTTACCCTAAATAGTTTTATCATGATAGATTTGAAATAACTATATAAAAGTATTAACTTGAAATCATGCCAAGGATTCCCTTTCTAGCTACAATGATCCTACTAAAGTGCATCTCTTCTCTCTTGACTTGTCTTCTTCTATAATTTTTCTATCCACCTATATTAATTAACTCTCCAATATTTTTTTTGTAAAATTCAACCACAAATCACTTGATTTGAAATCCACATCTATCCAAATGGACTCTATGCAGTCAGCGATTTGTAAAATCTACATCTAGACACTTATCATAATCTCAACCTCAGGAAATGACAAATCTTATTCTCATGTCCATCCATCATTAAAAAGGTAAAACATATGGACTATCGGTGAGATGCTTGTGTGAATGTTTAAAACTTCATTTCAACATTCCTCTCTCTCTCTCTGTCTCTCTCTCTCTATCATTTTTATATTTTGCTTTCTAGGGCTCATCTGTCCTCAAATGGATGCTTGATTTGTCACTGATTTTATTTCCTTTTTCTTTTGGGGGAGGGGGGATATGTTCAATAGGGGACTGTTGTGCTTGTTTTCCAACCAGCAGAGGAAGGAGGTGCAGGGGCACAACAAATGATTGATGCCGGAGTACTTCAGAACGTTGAAGCTATCTTTGGGCTGCATGTCGACCCGGACATACCCATAGGTCAAGTGGCCTCCAAGCCTGGACCCATTATGGCTGGGTCCGGCTTTTTTGAAGCTGTAATTAATGGAAAGGGAGGTCATGCAGCCATTCCTCAGCACTCAATAGACCCAATATTAGCAGCTTCAAGTATTATTATCAGCTTACAGCATCTTGTTTCACGGGAAGCTGATCCACTGGATTCTCAGGTTCATATTTCAACTTTCAAATCTATAACTTATCCCTTCTGATAATTATGCAAAACTGAGACATACTCTTTGGTGAATATCGAAGAAGAATTATTCTACAAATTTTGTCTATTTCTTTTCGATATCAAACATGGTCAATTTCAAATCTTGTGGATAGAATGAAATACTAATCTGGACTCATGATGAATAATTGACTTTTCTATTTAGTTTGCTTCCCTTGCGATTGTTTCTCTATTTGTTGCAATTACCAATTACAGAGAATGGGGACTGTTGGAAATGATACCATTGTTGCATTTTTTTGGTAGAGGGACTAGCACTGCTGCACTTTCTGGTGCAGTTTATTTGGTAGCTTATGTTTGCCAATTGTCAGTAATTGTTGAGACACCAACCACAGTTTCATCATTTCACTTAGGAAGTCTGCAATAAGCATAAAGTTATGTTAGAATATGTTATTTAATTTTATAATGAGGGCTACTATTGTCATATTGTTACACTTGAGTTTAATATAAGTAAGTGCTAAGGTGAAGGGTTTAGTTAATAATCCTAAACCTAATTTTCTCATCTTTTCTTTCTCCTTCTCTTCTTCTTCTTCTCTACTTAGTCTTAACCCTACTTCTTACAATCTTTACGCTTCAACATGGTATCAGAGTAGTCTATAGAACCTGGAAATCAACACAAGGTGGCTGTGTTGTGCTGATGTCATCATCCGTACTATGATGTCACTATCCATACAGACGTCGTGCTCCGGTGAACTCATGTACCTACTCGGTTTTGTCTCCTGGGATTTATGGTAATTTTTGTGGAATTTTTTTGGAGTTGTTTGATATGAGTTTTCAATTTTTGAATGATTTTTGAGTTTGTGGTGCCTATTTTTGCAATCTGCGATTCCAGCCCAAAATTTTGATTTTGTCAGTTGGGCTCTACCCTATGGGAGCCGACTCGACCTGGTAGACTATCCTTCGGTGTTTAATTTGTGATTTGGTCCATCGGGTGTTCTTTTCTGGTCTCCAGAGGTCGTTTCTTCAGTCGTCTATGTTGCTGCTACTGCTAGATTGATTCTACTTCTAGATTGTTGCTGTTTTTGCCCTTGTTTGTTGATATTGGTGCCTCCTGTTATTGGTTCTTGCTGGCAGAGTGTTGATCTGTTCTCTTCTTTGCTACTTAATGAATACAATATTTGCATTTGTTATTGTTTGTTCACCTATCATGGCTGAGGGTAAAAACCCACTGGTTAAGGATGATGTGCCTCATTCTCATCCTACATTGGTTAAGGATGATGATCTGCCCAAATCTATTACTACCGAGAAATTGACTGGTCTGAATTATATGGCTTGGGCACATGTTGTGAAGGTGTTTTTGCGTGGAAAGAAAAAATTGTGCTTCCTTACGGAGCTTCCTCCTTCGGCTGAGGATAAAGCTTATAATGATTGGTCTAACAAGGACTCTGGTGTTATGGTCTGGCTTTGGCATAGCTTAGAACCAAATGTTGCCACTACAGTTGAGTTTTGTGAAACCTCTAAGGAGATTTGGGACTCTCTTGCTGTATCCTTTTCGTAGCAGAGTAATTTTCTTGAGTGCATGAGCTATATGAGACTATCTTTGCTACTAAGCAGTCCAGTTCTCCACTTTCTGAGCATTATAGTTGTTTAAGAATTTGTGGGATCAATTGTTGCGACATCGCCCTTTTACTACAGATTTAACTCAGTAAAAGAGGAATTGGGAGGAGTTTATGATTGCTTGATTACTTACCGGTCTAGATTCTGATTTGCGTGGATTCAAGAATCAAATTTTGGCAAGTGAGACTTTACCTTCAAAAGCTAATGCATATTCTCGCTTATTATGATTTTCCTTAGGTTAGAGTTCTATTATTTCTAGCTCCACTCCACCCCTTGGTTCCTCCTCCGTTATGGTTTCTGGTAATGGTGCTCACAACGTAGTTCTCGTGGTGATCGTGGTACCCGTGGTGGTCGTAGTTCCTTTTCTCATGGTGACCGGAAATATGATTATTGTGGTTCCATTGGTCATACTGAACCTTGGTGTTGGCAAAAGTATGGCAAGTTTGACCATGTGTATCAGGTTACCGATGTAGCTCCCTCTTCCCAGACATCTACCTCTGGTTATGTTGCTCCTTCGTCTGATTCTCATGAGGCACTCACTGCTCAGATTACTAAGCTTATTTCACTCCTTCGTTCTACTCTTCCTCCATTATCCACCGCTACCTTGGCTAGTTTAGGTAATATTGCATGTATGGCTTAGTCTAGCCAACCTTGGCTCCTAGACTCTGGTGCTAGTTCACACATCTCTAGTAATTCATCCCTTTTTCATTCTTTACATCATGTCACACATAATATTGTTCTTACCGGTGGACTATCCCAACCTGCCAGTGGGATGGGTACACTTCACCCCACCACAACTTTATCTCTACCCTTTAGTCTCTATGTCCCTAAATTTCCCTTTAATTTATTGTCCGTTAGTTAATTAACCAAAGCTCTTCATTGTTCCATAACTTTTTCTTCCACTTGTGTTTTACAGGACCTCAAGACCAAGAGGATAATTGGTTCAGGGCATGAGCAACATGGCTTATATTACTTAGATACTGATATCTCCCTGATGGCTTTATTGAATGCCTTAAAGCTCGCTTGGTGGCTAAGGGATACACCCAAACTTATGGTGTTGACTATCTTGAGACTTTCTCCCCTGTGGCTCGTCTCAATTCCATTTGGATACTTCTCTCTGTTGTTGTCAGTTGTTCTTAGCCCTTATATCAGCTTGACATAAAAAATGCCTTTCTCTATGGCGATTTGCAAGAGGAAGTCTATATCGACCAGCCCATTGGTTATGTTGTGCTTGGTAATGAGCATCTTGTTTGTCGCCTGTAGAAGGCTTTGTATGGGTTGAAGCAATCTCCTTGTGCTTGGTTTGATTGCTTTAGTACTGTTGTGCTTGTTTATGGGTTTAAGCTTCCTCTTCTGATCATTCTGTGTTTATTCGCCACTCTTCTAGTTGGGTTATTGTCTTGATTGTTTATGTGGATGACATTATCATTTTCGGCAGTGATTGTATAGGAATTGTTGATTTAAAACGCTATTTAGGCCAGCAATTTCATACTAAAGACTGGTTCGTTATTTTCTTGGAATTGAGGTTGCTCGTTCCTCACAAGGTCTTTTCCTTTCTTAGCGAAAGTATGAGCTTGATCTTCTCTCTAAGACTGGTCTTTTAGGTGCCCCCCGACCAGTTAAGTATGCCTATGGACACGTTTGTCAAACTTTATGGTGAGAATGGTGAGTTGTTTTTCGATGTTGGTTGCTATTGTCATTTGGTTGGGAAATTAATTTATCTCACTGTCACACGTCCAGATATTACATATGCTGTGAGTGTGGTCAGTCAGTTTATGCATGCTCCTCGCCATCCTCACTTTGATACAGTGTGTTGTATTTTGCGCTACCTGAAGAGTGCCTTTTGCTGCGGTCTACTATATTGTCCTTCCACTTTTGACTATTGTACCTTTGTTGGTGATAACCTGGTTACTTGGCATAGTAAGGAGCAGACTATTGTTGCTTGATCTAGTGCTGGAGCTGAGTATTGTGGTATAGCTGATACTGCGTTTGAGATGTTCTGGGTTCATTCTCTTCTACAGGATTTTGGACTTGCTATTTCCTCTTCTTTGCACATGTGTTGTGACAACCAGGTGGCTATCTTTATTGCTAATAATCTGGTGTTTCATGAATACACCAAGCATATTAAGGTTGACTGTCACTTTATTTGGGATTGGTTATTACGAAAGCATCTTGTGACTCCCTATGTTCGGTTTGATGATCAACTAGGTGATATTCTTACTAAACCATTAGCTCGCCCTGCCTTTGAGCGTCTATCTGCTAAGCTGGGCATGTTTAATCTCTATGCTCCAGCTTGAGGGAGAGTGTTAATATGTTATTTAATTTTATAATGAGGGGTACTATTGTCATATTATAACACTTGAGTTTAATATGAGTGCTACTATTAGCATCCCATAAATTATCTTGGACCTCCTAATTTTTAACTTTTTTTATTTTATTAAAATAATAACCTCAAATAAAATTACTAAAAAGGACATCATTTATTTTGGGATACTCTATCTCACAATTAAACCTACACACCTACTACATCATGAATTAGGATGTATAAGAGCACCCACCTCCATCACCACCCATCCCATCTTCCCCAAATCCCACCTTCAAAACCTACCCACCCTCAAAACCTTGAAAACCCTTTGGCAACAATATTATGGCAGTAACAGTGGCAACTATTTGACTATCTACACTTCTCCGACAATGACAATGAGTGGAAGTTTTTCTGGTAACCACAACTCCATAAGACGAGGAGTACAACAATAAAAGATTAAAGGAGGTTCATAGCTTTGATGTTGTTCTTAGCTCAGAGGAGATTGGCCTTGTAAGGGTAAGTTTCTTGAAAAAAAATGGTAAAAATAATAAATATGTTCGTCATTTTTTTAGGATTGAACTTTCGAACATATGACTGAAATTCGGGAATACAGGCCCAAACATTGTTTATTTTTCGGGAAGGCATTCCCGAACAAATAAGTAATGTTCGGGAATGCAAGTCTGACCATGAAAATTTCTTAACACATTGAATGGTCAAAATTGTTAATGCTTGCAGAAGTTTTTATTTTTTCAAGTTCAGGAATACAGACCCGAACATGGAAATTTCTTAACACATTGAATGGTCAAAATTTTTAACACTTGCAGAAGTTATCAGAAGTAGCCCAAATCTATTATCAGGTTCAAAAGTTATTCCTTCATTGTGTAGTTTTGATTTTATTGCTGAGTAGTTCTCTGCTGAACTCAAATTTTATAATAACAAAATCAACCAAACCAATTATTATAATTTTTTTCCTGCAAGAGAAGAAATTATTACGACAAAACTAAGAAATTATGTATATATATAGAGAGAGAGAGCATACAAACTGTGATAATAGTGGATGAGGTAGCAAAAACTGTTATCACATTGGCTCTTTTTCTTCTTGGTGGGTTTTGTTAGGGTTTTTTGGAAGAGGGATTTTTTGGAGTGTGGGCGTGTTGGGGGGGGGTTGTGCATTTAATTATGGGTGAGCAGCGGATATATCGATTCGCCAAAACCGACCGAACCAAACCGATCCGCTGCATTTTTGACGGATGTGTGATGACGAACGGACGGTTGCGGATTCATTTTCTCCAATCCGCCAATCTGGCGGACGGATGGCGGATTTGAGATTTCTTTGGCCGCAACCGAACCGCCAAACCGCAAACACCCCTAGTAATTTATAAGATTTTATGTTTTCAGTTTGTTTAAATATTCTGTTTGCGTTTTCAATTAAAAAAGAGTTTAAATATTCTGTTGAAATTTTTTTTCTAACTTGAATATCTTTTTTGAATTGAAAAAAATAAACGTATTATTTATCTATATTTTTTGGTTTTTAAATCTACCTCTAAAAATAATAAATAAAAAATATGATACATGCTGGTTGGTTTTTGTTTTAAAAAATAGATATAGATATAACAATACAGAGACATACAATCTCTACTACTGCTCTGTTCATGTTTTGGTGGTTTGAATTGTTTTTATATTTTAAGAACACAGGTTGTAATACTTTATGTGGATGAGGCATGCTGTGATTGTAGTATTTGGATGATGCATGTAGTGATTGCGATATTCTAAAGTTTCAAACTTTCTTACTTTGAATGAGGCATGCAATGATTGTAATATTTTTTTAAGTCATTAACTGTAATACTTTCTTCTTCTTCTTTTTTTGAGGAAGTGCACAAGTTGAATTATGTTAAAAATTTATAAAATTTTAAACCGCCAAACCGATTCGCATCCATCCGCCAAACCGCCAATCTCCTCAATCCACATCCGTCGGATTGGCGGACGGATGCGGATTGATTTTCTCCAATCCGCTAATGTGGCGGACGGATGGCGGATTGGAGGTTCCGTGGCCGCAACCGACCCGCACCCACCCCTACATTTAATGGGTGGAATGTTTTCACAAAGATAATTTTGGTATTAATTTGGGGGGGGGGAAGAAATTTTGAGGGTTTCAAAATTTATAAGTGGGGTCCTAAAGAAATAGGGAATCTAAAATAATTTATGGGGTGCTAATAGCATCATTCTTTAATATAAATAAGTGCTAAGGTGAAAGGTTTAGTTAATAACCCTAAAACTAATTTCTACCGTATTCTCTCTTCTCTTTCTTCTCCTCTTCTTCTTCCTCTCTACTTAGTCTTAACAGTAATTCCTACAATCTTTACACTTCAACTAGTTATAAATAAGATAACCGCCAATCGTCCTTTTCAATGGCAGTATTTTCTTTAAAACATGATGTTATTTTATGCTAAGAAGTGAAATGACTATTTCCTCTGGCCTCCCATGGGTATTAGTCATTGGCAAGTCTACTATAATAGAAAGACATTACGACAGTGTTGGTACCCTTTATGGGTATTAGTCATTGGCAAATCAACTATAATAGAAAGACATTATGACAGTGTTGGCACCCTTTAATGAGAGGTGTTGTAGTGTAAGACTGGAGATGGCTGTGAAGTTTAACATTATTTGCACAAAGTGGTTGCCCTCAGATGTGAATGTGTGTTCTCACTTCTCACGAGGTGGTAGCCCAAGACTATATAGGCTAGAAACTCAGATTTGAAATAGGAAACTAACTAATAATATTTATAGACTAGAAACTGGAGTTTAAAATAGGGAACTAACTACTAATATCATTTGGAAACTTAACCCTAACAGAAAAAGGAAAATTGAATCCCTAATGCAAATAGAAAAATAAATTTTAATGAAATTCCTAATTAACCTATAGGTTAAAATAAAAATAAACATAAATATTACAATTGATAAAATTATAAATAAAATCTGAACCCAAAATTGGTGGGTGCCTCTTCTGCATCAACTGGACATCTGGATGTAAGTGGTACCAAATCAATGCAAACTCTGAATACTAGATAGATTTGACTTCTAAATTCTTCCTTATGATGTGCTTTCAATCTTAGCAGCAGGAACCTTCTACTTGACTAACGTTTGTTACTAAGAAACGCGATTTCGCGCTCCCAAGTAAGAAACTTGCTCTTGTCGAGAAAGGAACTCGCTCTCAACTAAGATAGAAATCTCTCAAACATATAAATCTCATATAAACAAAGGAAAAAAAATTTCAAGTTTATTTTAGTGGTTTGTATTTATATAATATTTATTATACTTCATATAGATAATTTGTAGTTGGCATGAATCTCTAAATATTTTTTCATATTTTGATACATATATTACAACCAAGCAGCAAAAAATAACTGTTCTCCCAACTTAAGAAACTTCTATATGGCCTTGTTCCCACTTTTTCTCCCTTCGCTGCCTCCATTTTGTGCAACCAAGCTTTAAATTGTTTCTATGAGAACTACATGGAATTCTGTTTGTTTTGTAATGAAATAGTTTTTTGAAGTTTTTACTTTTACATACACTTCCAGGTCGTAACAGTTGCTAAGTTCCAAGGAAGTGGTGCATTCAATGTCATTCCAGATTCTGTCACCATTGGGGGCACCTTCCGAGCCTTCTCAAAGGAAAGTTTTTTGCAACTCAAGCAGCGAATTGAGGAGGTAGTAGTTAAATGGACTATATAATAGCTTTAATGACAATTCTTCATTCCTAAATTTTCATTGATTTTGTCCACATTTGATTATGCATTGTAGTTTCATTTTTAAGTATTCTAGTTTTTTTATTAATCACAAATGTATAACTCACCAAAAAATTTAAAAAAAAAAAAAAAAGAATTCAGAAATGTTGCTGTAATTACTGAAAAAAGCTCATGTCATTGACAAATCTGAATGTTGATGTATGCTTCTTTGTTTCTCCATGTGTTCCCTTGCAAACCCTTAATTTTCTCAAATATTTTCGTGTCACTAGACATTTCCCCCTCTGAATTGATTCCATCATACATATTGGGATCAGGAAGGATCCATTTTACTAAGTTATCATTACTTTAGCGGCTTTGCAATTACTTGAGATTGTTGATCTGAATAACAATGTATGAGCTATCAAATCAATTCAGTGTCGAGAATTGAATAGTATGCCATAGGAAGATCTTTTATCCATACCGAATCCGGAAGTGGATTACTGTTCCAATCAAGAATACTATTATTTATTTTTAATTTTTAATCATTCTATGGCTACTTTATTTTTAATGGAACGCAAGCTAATTTCTCTTCACTAATAGGTAATAACTGGACAAGCAAATGTACAGAAGTGCAATGCAACTGTTGATTTCCTTGAAGAAGACCCGGTAACAGTAAATGACAAAGGCTTGCATGAACATTTCCGTTACGTTGCTGGGGATATGCTGGGCCTTCTGAATACTAAAGACATGCAACCATTGATGGGTTCCGAGGATTTTTCATTTTACCAAGAGGTGATACCTGGTTACTTCTTCTTCCTTGGTATGAGGAACGAAACAAATGGAAGGCTTGCATCGTTTCACTCACCGTACTTCACTATCAATGAAGATTCACTACCTTACGGAGCTGCTGTTCATGCATCATTAGCTGCTAGATATCTTTTAGAATTTAAACAGAGGACTGCTTTGCTGAATGGAAAAAAAACATTAGGATGAACTATGAATGGTTTTTTTTGTTTTTTGTTTTTTTGGCACTCTCATGTTTGCTCAGTCGTAGTTGTAACTTCTGAAATGATAAAATAATTTGGCCTTTCATATTTTATTTTATTTTTCGTTTTTTTTTTTTGTAGAAAAATAAAAAAAATATTTAATATTTAATATTTTTTTTTGTAGTGCCTTTTTGGTTATTTTAGCTTATTACCAAAGTAGCCATATACCTTGGTTTTCATATCCACATTTTTTGCGGCAATCTTTTTAGCATTTATTAATTGTGAAGCATGTGCACATGTACTTGTACATATATTGGTATTACTAATATGACATAAAAAATCTTTAACAAATTAAAAAAAATAATAAGTATGGTATGAATATGGCCATAAAAATTATATTTTTATAATTTGTAATAATGCATTATTAGATTGCGTAATAATACAAGTTAATGGTTTTTATTATTTTATTTTTTTTATTTTTTTAGAGGTTTAGTACAAGTTAATAGTTAGATTACAATGTAAATGAAGACTGATGCCTTTTCATAGGCTCAAGTCTCAGAAAGCCATATTAGCACCCAAGTGCCCTTTCTCAACCACTTGAGCTACAACTGAGTCCAAATAAACACTATGGAAGTCTTGATCATAATTGACTATAATATGACTGTAGGTGATAAAATGATAGTGGTGATGTGGTATAGACAAGTCGAAAGGGATTGTTGGTAAAAAATTTCTCATACAAATACTTTTTTTTTACAAGGACAGTTGCAAGTTTTCTACTTCAAAATCATCTTATTCTTTCAAAAAGACATAAATTTTATTTTGCATATTTTTTATGGACAATTTTGGCTTTTAATATATGCATGAGTGGTTTAATAGAATTTCCTCCCAAATTCTCTCATGATCTCTCTCTCTCTCTCTCTACTAATAGGGATCATCGGCGGCATTTTCATAGGCTCTACAATTCTCTTATGACCTCCTTTCTTTCCCTCCCTTTGTTCTTTCTCAAAATAGAAGTCACTGATGTCCGTACTAGCTCTACCATGATTTATCTTCGTTGGTTCTACCACCGCTTACATTCGTTGAATCTACCATCGTTTTGCCACTAGAGTATCTCATCATCATTATTGCCTCAAATATGATATCGATAACATTAAGATTGGAGGTTTAGATTTGTAAAAATCTCTTACTTTTTGGAAGTTCAATTCAAAGACTGTGTGTGTGTGTTTTTTTCTTTTGGGGGGGGGGGGTGTTTATGATATGTTTGAATACTAAGGTTAGGATTTCAAACAAAGATGTCGTTACAATATGTTCAGTAACAAAAATAGTAAAATTTTATTGCCTACCAAAGTGAAATGAGCCTAGACACCTTCGAAACCTTTTCTACTTAGAACTGTCATGGAATCCCTTCGGTTGACCTCCACCTCCACCCTGGCATATTGGTCGAGATGTCACCTTCTAGGCTGAGGCGCGCGTCGCCTAGGCCAAGATGTGCATCATCTAGGCCGAGATGTTAATATCTAGGCGTTCTAGATCCTTGACCCTTGCACTAGCGATTTTGTTCCTGGAATGGTATGACCTAGACCGAGATGTGGCACATCTAGGCCAAGGTGTGGCACAGCTTAGTCAAGTGTTGTCCTTCCAAGCCGATGTCCTTGCCACTTGCTTGCCGGAGTCTTGTTGTTGGCCGATGTTGTTACTTGCCGGAGTGCTCTTGCTGTTTAGCTTGTTGAATACACTTTGTCTTGGTCTTGTCTAATCAGTCAGTTACCTTTTTGAGTAGAGCCAACCAGCCGGTGGCACGTGTCCCGGCAGAGGGATTAAGTCAGTGATTGTTGTGAGAAACATATCATTTGTATCAAATCTTGCCTTTTAGAGAGAGAAACTCTAGGAAAGAGAAGGAAAAGTTTGAGCAAGAGAGAGTGAACTTCCAAGCTTGATCGTTGGAGCTTGAACCGTTAGATTCGAGTTTTGAGGTTAGAATCTTAACCTACTCTTGTTGTTCTTATTGATCATCTAGCTGCATTGCATGATCAAATCTGTTCGGCACGTCATGCATTGATTTAAAGTTGGTTTTAGAAAGAGAAAATGGTTTTCATGTGTTCTTGAAGAAAAGCCTCGTTTGATCCGAAAGTTTGCACTAAGGCTCATGTTTTTGTGTTTGTTTTGATAAGATCCTTGTGTATAGGTACCCAGGTTCACGTTTTTGAATTCATAGAATGAAATCTTAGCTTTCGTTATAGCAAGTTTTGATCTTTGCATTCATTTTCCTCATGTTCATGTTCTTCATGCCCTTCATGCTCATGTTCTTCATGTTGTCAAGAGGGAAACCCAGTTTTTCCCGACTTCGCTTTTGAATGTGGCCGTCCGGGCCACACCTCGGCAAGGAGGTGTGGGACCTCGGCCTAGACCTGGTAGTTGCCCAGCTTGTTTTCCAAAGATAGGAAACTGTGTTTTGATTTGATTTGACTTAGTTTTGAAGAATGTCGAGGTCATTTGCATGTATGCTAGACTTGTTTTGAGTAGTGCATTCAATAGACTTTGTCATGTGTTTGTAGGACTTGGACTTGCCTTGACCCCAACGTTTGCAGAACTATGTGAGTGGTATTTTTAATAAAGCTATGTTATCAATGTTTTGATGAGCCTTGCTTTACTTTGTTTTGAAAAGTATTTGTCAAGCATGAATGATTGTCCTTAGTTTTGTATCTTGTATTATACTTGCTTTGATGACCTCCTCGGAAAGTTCCTTGTGCTGGAGGACTCTAAACTTTCGCAGCACATCTCGTTTGAAAGTCCCTTGTGCTGGAGGACTCTAAACTTTCGCAGCACATCTTGTCTTGAAAGTCCCTTATGCTGGAGGACTCTAAACTTTTGCAGCACTCTCGTGTTAAAAGCTTACGGGCCTTTGTAACATAGGTCCCTTGTGCTAGAGGACTCTAAACTTTTGTAGTACTCTTGTTTGAGATGTCTCTCTTGCTTTGTCTTGTTTTGCCACTGACGGTTTACCGTGTGGATATGTTTGCCGGAATGTTACCATTTGTAAAATGTGATGTTAGTAAGTATCCCTTGAAGCTTTGAAGATTTGTTAGATGGACGAGGTCCATCCCTTGTTATCTAAAGTTTTGACTTGTATTGTTTTGAGAGGACTTCGGCTATTATTCATGCAAACCCTTTATTATTTATACCATTCACTGAGTATCCAAGCTCACCTTTTCTATATATATGTAGGTGATGAACAAGAAGACGGTGACACCTAGATGTGATTCTGGAGCTTATTTTGGATTTTGTTTATGTCGGCTTAACTTGTATTTACGTCGGCAGTCTTGAAAACTATGCTTCTCGATTTGTAATGCTTGTATGTTGCATACGTCGGCTTGAGAAGCCTTTTGATCAAGATATGTGTTTTGTATGATTGTTATGTCGGCAAAGAGGATGTCGGCAACCTGGCAGATTGTGTTCCTTGACCTGTAGTTCGTATATTTTGTTTGTGTCGGCTTGTGAAGCCTTTGTTAATATGTAAGATGTAATTTGTACCTTGCTTCGTTTGTAATTAAGTTGTAACCCATATGAAGATGGTCGCTATTTCATTTGACTTATGCACAACTCTTATGGACTAATCTGATTGTATGTATCGCTTCCGTACTTGTGAGCCCCATATTTATACTTTGTTGTGTGTGAATTTTGAAAGTTGGCCTTCGGTAATCTCGGATTACTGGCCATCACGGCACCAAACTACTAGGGGCGGTTGGGGTCGTGACACACTCTCTCTCTACTAATGGAGATCATCGGCGGCATTTCCTAACCTAGTCTCTTTGTAAGAAAGGTAGAGCTTGGCGTGGCCTTCATTTTCTCTCTCAAAATAGAGATAGTCACCAATGTCCGTACTAGCTCTATCGTGATTTATCTTCGCTGGTTCTACTACCGCTTACATTCGTCGAATCTACCATCGTTTTGCCGCTAGAGTGTCTCATCATCTTTATTGCCTCAAATATGATATCGATAACATTAAGATTGGAGGTTTAGATTTGTAAAAATTTCTCACTTTTTGGAAGTTCAATTCAAAGACTGTGTGTGCGCGCGCGCGCGCGTGGTGGGGGGGGTGTTTATGATATGTTTGAATACTAAGGTTAGGATTTCAAACAAAGATGTCGTTACAATATGTTCAGTAACAAAAATAGTAAAATTTTATTGCCTACCAAAGTGAAATTTTACTATTAATGTTACTAAATCAATGTTCTAACTAATTTATCATTTAATATTTATAGGAATAATGGTTGATATCATAGTAAGTGTAGTGGTTTGTGATGACAATGGTAAAATTTACTACTTACATGTTTAAATCAAATAGTACAATTATACTGTTTATAAAAACAATGATTTTTGAATTTTCATTGTTATTGTTGTTGTTTGCTATGAGGCGGTGGCGGCAATGATAAGTCATTAGGTGATGATCGGGACAGTTGTTAAAAATAATGGCAAGAGTAAGTCACTAGAGAAGATGAGTTGTTGCTAAATAGACCTGTTTTATATGTCGATTTTTTAGTGACTATTCTAATGACGATAATAATTGATCTCTAAATTCTTTTTATCAATTAAAATTTTCACATTTGGAGAGAAAAAAAATTGGATTTTATGACGATTTTTTAGTGACTATTCTAACGACGACAGTAATTGGTCTCTAAATTCTTTTTATCAATTAAAATTTTCACATTTGGAGAGGAAAAAAATTGGATTTTATGACGATTTTTTAGTGATTATTCTAACGACGACAATAATTGGTCTCTAAATTCTTTTTATCAATTAAAATTTTCACATTTGGAGAGAAAAAAATTTGGATTCTAAAACTCTTGTATGCTGTAACCGAATGTAAACATCAATGAAACTGAAAAGAACTAAAAGAAACCTACGTGCATTTATTAATATGAATATCACTAAGGCCAAGTTTGGCATGTGCCAAAAAAGTCAAAAAGTTACTAAAAAAGTTATCACTATTCACCAAAAGTCAAAAAGTACGGCTGCACAACTCCCAATCCTAATTTTCTCCTACACACTAATTTATACAATTTTTTAATATATATTTTTTCATGAAAAGTCAAAAAGTTAACCCACACAATCATATTT